GTGCTACACAGTGCTAAAATAGCTCAGTGGTGTCCCAATGAAGTGGTTTTCATTGGAGGCTGTGTTCTCAGGGATGTCTCAGGCGGAGCCGGATTAGGTGGTAGGGCCCCCGGCTTGCTGGTCCTAGTTCTAGCATTGCAACCTCGGTCAAAGTTCCATGTGGCTGTTCGTGCAAGGAAAATGATTTCTGACATTTGGGGCGTTCTGCAGGTTGACCTAGCAGGTTCTGAGCGAGCGAAACGAACAGGAGCAGTGGGCTTGAGATTCAAAGAGTCTGTGACCATCAATTGTGGTTTGCTGGCTCTCGGGAACGTCATTAGGTACCTCCCAATCGAAGTGCAATGCATATGTATTCTGTTCCCCTCCCCTGCCTGCATATGCGAGTTCCGTCCCCTGTCTTTTCTCATTGTAAACTATGTGAGTAGAGGGCGATATGCGTGCAAGGCCGGGACTAGAGCTCTTGACCTCGTCTCAAACAGGAATGACACGTTGGCCTCCAGTGCATGACAGCTCTAGCGTCCGTATGCCTTAAGAAGACTGCTCCCAGGCCTGTCATGTACTGGACATATCCGACCAGGATTCCATCCAGAAAAAGCAGAAAGTTTCCTAAGCCCCTGCACTCACGAGGCCACTCAAAAAAATAAATAAAGAGCAGTGTATCTTCCCATGTTCAAACGGGAGATTCATTCTTATTTTGCACATTTGGTGGGAGTGATGGAGCCAAGGCAGTTACTACAAACAAGCGTCTGTGCCTGCGTGCAAGGCCGGGACTAGAGCTCTGGACCTCGTCTCAAACAGGAATGACCACGTTGGCCTCCAGTGCATGACAGCCCTAGTGTCCGTATGCCTTAAGAAGAGTGCTCCCAGGCCTGTCATGTACTGGATATATCCGACCAGGATTCCATCCAGAAAAAGCAGAAAGTTTCCTAAGCCCCTGCACGCACGAGGCCACTCAGAAAAATAAATAAAGAGCAGTGTATCTTCCCATGTTCTAACTGGAGATTCATTCTTATTTTGCACATTTGGTGGGAGTGATGGAGCCAAGGCCCAACGAGGGCTACGGGAAAAAAAAAAACAAAAAACAGTGGTGTATCTTCCTGTGTTCTAAGGGGAGATTCGTAGTGCAGCATGCCCTAAGCCCCACACAGTGTGAGCATGCCCTAAGTCCTTGCACTCATGAGGCTACCCGAAAAAGAAAACAGCAGCGGTGTATCTTCCCAAGTTCTAACGGGAGATTCATTCTTATTTTGCACATCTGGTGAGTGCTGGAGCCAAGGCCCAACGCGGGCTCGTAAAAGGGGAAAAAAAACACCGGTGCATCTTCCCATGTTCTAGCAGCAGATTCGTTCTCTTTTTGCACATTAGGTGAGTGCTGGAGCCAAGGCCCTGCGGGATACACGTCGGGGTCCCCAAATGTGTGAAATGAGGATGAATCTTTCGCTAGGACATGGAAAGATACACCACCACAATTTTTTTCTTTTTCTTTTTCTTTTTGTGCATTGGCCGAGTGGTGTACCAAGGTTCTGAGACCTAAACGATACACTTCGAGAAAAAAAGGGCAAGAAGGTGACAGCGAAGCAATCCGAGAAATCCGACACACTTGAACACGCTGCTATGTACTTGTATTCGGACATCAGCGCGGAGAGGCCTACACCAACGTCCGGGGCAGGAAAATTGAACATTTCTGCGACCTGTGCCCCGCATCGAACCTCTGCGACGAAAAAAGAAAGCAGTCACTGGCGTGGGAAAAAAAAAACAACCCACCGGAACTTGTCCCAATGTACCACCCTCAAGCGGTTTCTCTTGAGCCCGGAGGGGGGGTTAGTTGGGGCCCGCTTCATCCTTTCAGAATTATAGGGATTATGGGTTAGATGGTGCAGTCTTGCCTACTGTGCGCCGAGCGCCCCTTTGCCTGGTTATGGGTTAGACGCATGGGACTGCGGTTGCTGTCAAAAAGGAAGAGGACTAGGAAGGGAAAGAGAGAAATAAAAAGAAGAAAAGGAAAATCCTGTGTTTGATCTGCACTCTGATCTGGACTTGTGCTTAGTCTGGGAAGATCTAGTGATTGCTTGGTGCGGAGGCGTCATGAATTCCCCTTTCTTTATAACTAATATTGTTATTATTAATTATGAAGTCTTTTCACAGGCCCTTTCGGCCTGTCACTACAAGGGGGAACTAACCGTTCAATTTTGAACCCTGAATGCTAGTGAGTGGCCTCGGCTAGTCGACCGTTCGTATTTTAATTTCCCCGCGCACTAGGCCCTGCTGGGTACTGCCATAAGCCTCAAAATGGGAGCACCCACGGCCGCATTGGTAGGAGGCTTATCACCCTCCCGTGGAGAGTCATAAACCCCCTCCTTGCCATCAGACTCGGGTACCCAATGGGAGTAGACCGACTGCGTGTTTAAAAGGGAAAGGTCTGCATGTCGGTATCCCGTTATGGGACCACTATTTTCGGAGTGTGGCCGCATCACGAGGATTAGCGAGTAGTGTAGTGAGTTCGGCACGTGCTTAGACCGTTGAGTTTCGGTCTCTCGTCTTCTTAAATCATTTAATTCTATTTTGTCCTATTATTTTCAAAGCTCTAGAACTATTAATGTGAAGAATTTGAAAAATGTTAATTTGAACTCTTCATTCAGAACGCAGGGATCGTAGTGAGTGGCGATCCTATAAAGAGAAAAAAGGGGGGGGATGAGCCATGGGCTATTGGTTTTTCGGCGAAGGGCCAAACGCACTCCCCACTTTTTGAGAGTCAAGACACTGCTCGCGGCTAAGCGGCTTGGTGGTATCCCGTTTGCTTGAGCTCGGGTGGAAAGTGGCACGTAGAGGGGTGCGTTATTCGAGGTTAGCGGCATGGTACCGTGCAATCTATCGAACGAAACTCGGCTATGGCGCGAAGCAATGGCCTTTTTGGCTATAGGCCAAGGCATCTGAGATTTTATTCGAGTTGGGAGCCTATGCGTGAGGAGGGGGCTACAGTGGATGCCTGCTTGAGCTATAGTAAAAGTGACGGAGTGGCTAAGCTGAAAAATAATGTCTACGAAGGGAAAGAACAGGAGATGAGGGAAGACAGAAAAGTGCAGGGGTTAGTCACTGAGGCTCGCAACAGAGCCGAGCGAAGGTGCATGAGGGATGGAGTGACCGCGGCCCTGAAGGTTACGATTACTTATCACGAGGAAGAGACTTCCACGAGCACGACCGAGAGAGAGCAGCAAGAGCTGGACCGAGATTCGGAGGCCGAGTTTGAGGCCAGCGATTCGCAGACCCGTTCCTGGCATGGGCTGGAGCAGTGGGGGAGAGAACACCCGCCAGCCGAGTCGGTAAAGGACGGCGCAGAGGCCAGCTCGGCCTCAGCAGAGAGATTGAGGCAGTTTGACGGTTACGGGTCGGCAGAGAGAGGGAGAGAGAGAGAGAGGGAGAGAAGGGCGCGATACGTGGCAGGGCTGCGATGTGCAAGGGAAAGAACACTCACGGGGCTGACCAGGGGGGAACTTAGGGTGACGACGGGACCAAGCCCACTAAGTGGTTGTGAGTAAGCCACTAGGAGTGGGCAGTTTTCAAGGAGCTTCACACATGATTGGGAGAGAAGAGCCATGCGTGACGCGTGAACGCTATGGTGACGGGTCTCGGAGAGAAGGGCGACCAGACAAGCGCGCTCAAGGACAGTAGACTTCGTTGTTGACGACAACATCCCCCTTGCGTAGAGTGCGTCCACAACTCCTGGACGGAGTTAGTAACACTGCGTCCGCCAAGCTGGGACAATCACAAGAAAGCAAATGGGGGTTGAGGCTGCATAACTGCGTGGAAGAGTGTCGGTGCTCTGGCCCAAGCGAGGGCGCTACGCCTGAGTATGTGGTTGGGGTCACCTTCCGTTTGAGTGACCCATCTTGCCAGTCTTTGCAGGTTGCAACACTATCAGTTTCGTCTGATTATCGTGATAAGCTTGGGGTGGGGGTTTTCGTCGTGTGCTTCTAGGCTACAGAGAATGTGCGCGCTTGCCCTTTGGACTCGTGCCTAACGATGTTGCTTTCTTGAATGAGCGGGCACGGATGGAACTGGGGTTCTCGTACTGTGCACTTCAGGCGTGATCAGTGAGACAGCGGGCCAGCTATTTTGAGAAAGGGAGGAATAGGCGGACACGATTGTGGGAAAGTCACGCTCACAGCAGCTATGAGGAAGAGGCAAAGAGGTTGCAAAATAGACTGACCAATCATCACTTACTTGGGATTGGTTTCCGCTGCACTCTCGGGGAAGAAGCTGTTTTCCTCCTTTTCGTCCTTTCGGAAGTTGGAAAGTGTGTATGCCTTTCTGGGTGCGTGCCTATGGTGATAATTCTCTCGAAGTAAACGAGACGAGAAAGGGACCTAAACACACGCTTCTTGCAAACTGAGTGGGATCAGCGTGATAACGGGCTAACTGCATGATACATCGAGTGATTAAGGGCTATCCCACGACGCCAACATGTTCGAGGGGAGTGGGCAGTCATAGCTTATGAAAAGAGAGTGGGTGAGGTTTCCCTTGCGGCTGGTGCCATGTATGATGTAGCGCAGTATTGTTCTTCTCGGGTCTTCGGAGCACAGGCAACAACTCGAAGAAGAGAGGATGATGGCCTATCGAGGTCCGGAGCAAAGAAATATACCAGTTGACGTCATCCTATGGCATTGCTAACGCAGGTCAATCCCCCAGAAGCAGCGCGCCCTCCTCGTTTCTGAGTTTTTATCCAGGTTTCTTTGAAAGAAGAGCGTACATGATGTCGAGGATGCTATTATTAGTAGTAGATTCCAGCTAGCAGCCGCTGCGACCCTCATCCAGATATGTGAGGTATTCCCTCAGTGAGGCAGTGGCTAGACGGTATAGAGGTGATGGCGTATGAGTGATGCGTGTACAGAGGTGAAATATGGGTGAGAAAAGTGAGAGGGAATGTAAAAATGGGCGACTTACTTAGATGATGGAAATTGTGTCGCCTCTGATTTTTTTTTTATGTATTGTCTTGAGCCGCGCGTGAAGGGTGCCAAGGTTGGCTATAATGCAGAGATGAGGGGTAAGCGGTGAACGCTCCAGGAGAAGACACGGCGCTTATCAGACCTGGGTAGGGTTTTAATCGAGTTATTTTGGTACTTGAGTCTACAATATTAGTGCAGTATGAGGTTTATGGACAAGCTTTCTTAAATCAGGTACGAAAGGCGTGTGCTAATAACGATGACGCTGTCAACGGTGCAAGTTACATAACATTTCTCCTTTTAATTGATCACGCTGTGTGTGATGACTCGGTCATGAATGGATCGTGCATGAGAAGTTGTTCTCGGCCAAGGTGAGGGGG